CTAATCTGCTCTCCGGAATTCCTACTCACACTCCGTCCCGTCAGGCGTCACTATCCTCTGAGACCTGCCCAATATCACTTGTGCTCTCCTTCGTCTTACTCGGATTCCTTCCCCATCATGACCATCCCCCCATCTCGCCGGGGGGAAGCTCGCATCACCGGCAACTGTCCGCCCGGACCCCTGCCACCCTCAAATCCACTAGACACGCCGCGAACGACGCCTTCTCCGGCCGGCCGCCACTTGGCACTCCTCCTCGCTTGAACCTTGGGTTCTTTATACATTTCGTCCACCTCCTCGAGGGACAAACCTTTCGTCTCGTACACGAAGAAATACACAAAAGCAATACACAAGAAACAAGCCGCGAACCAAACGAAAAAGATCTTACTCTGCAGGTTGGCATACCCGTCGCCGTAGTTGACCAGATACGGCGTCGCGTAGGCGATACCCCAGTTCAGCAGCCAGTTCGTCGCCGTGGTGAGGCTTAAGGCCTTGGCTCTGTGCTGCAAAGGAAAGATTTCCCCGGTCACGACCCACGCGAGCGGTCCCCACGTCGAAGCGAAGAAGAAAATGTAGATACATACGAATGCAATGGATGCTTTTTGGGCTGGGAGGTTGAATACTAGAATGTTGCCGTAGGGATCCTGTCCGGTTGTCAGGGTGCCGAGGACGGCGACGATTAGTTGGGAGATACACATCCCGACGGCGCCCCAGAGAAGTAACGGACGACGGCCCCACGCATCGATCGCGTACAGACCGGGAATGGTAGAAACGACGTTGATGGATGAGGTTATCACGGTGATGGTGAAGGCATTGGAAATGCCGGACTGAAAAAAAAACCCTGTGCCGAAATAAAATATAAAGTTGACACCGGTCAGCTGTTGGAGAGCTTGGATGCCCATTCCGGTTAGCTGACGCTTCAGCATGCCGCCCAGGAAGCAGTCAATATATCTGGCTCCTTGGCCGACTGCCATCTCGTGCTCGTAGTTAGCGCGGATCTCGAGCAGCTCGATCTGGACGGAAGAGTGGAGCTTTGGCAGTCGCCGAAGACGACCAAGAGCGGCTGCGGCTCGGTCCATGTTTCCGGTCTTGATGAGGTACCGTGGGGTTTCCGGCAGGAGAAGCATGCCGACGATGAGGCTGAAGGACCAAACGAACTGAAGGGCGATCGGTATCCGGTAGGAGCCCGAATCATTGCGAAGGTGGGTCGCGTTGTCCAAGATGGCAGCAAGTAGGAGGCCAAGGGTAATGGCAAACTGGTAGGCGCCGATAATGGCCCCCCGAATCCATTTGGGCGCCGTTTCGGATTGGTAAAGGGGTACTTGATTGAACGTAAGCAGCTGAGTCGTAGAATTGGGCAATGAAATGTATATTACTTAGCGCCGAGATCAAGCCAACACCAAAGCCGGCTAAGAAGCGACCAACGAGAAAAATCGGGAGAGCGGTGGCAGCTGTCTGGAAGACAACACCTACGTTGAAGACCCAGCACGAGATGATGAGACCCCACCGACGACCGATATTGTCGCCCAGAAACGGTGATGTGAGCGCTCCGAAGAAGGTGCCTGCAGAAAGAATAGAAACAACGGCTGAGGTCTCGGATGGCGAGACGTCTAGGTTGCCGTCGGAATCGCGGTAGCCGGTAGAAAATTGCGTCTTCCAGTAGTCCATCGCAAGGATCCCGCTTATGGTCCCTATATCATAGCCAAAGAGGATACCACCAAAGGCCACGAAGGCTCCGATGGCGATGGCGGGCCATGATGCTCCCGCTTCACTGGGAGGTTTTGCCACGGAAAGCTTTTTCTTCATGGTTGGCGATATGTACCTAAGCAGGTAGCTCGCTTAGTTTGGGACGAAGGTGCGAAGATGCGAAAGTGCGAAAGTGCGAAAGTAGCAGACTCGAACGGGGAAGGGGGACACTCTCTGGCTGAAACAACGATCGCCGAGTAATGAAAGGTTTATTTATTTTGATTGGGAAGCAAATGTTTGGTTGTGGATTGTCGTGTCTGGTTATCTGGGTTTGCGAATTGAAATGAGGCTAGTAGCGGTTGGAACGGTCGCAAGCCCCGTTGAACAGCGTCATGAACAACTACCGGTAACAGGCTCAGTGAGCGATTATTACTAACGTCGTTGTTTTAGCCTACTGCTTGTGACCGATGGAATATATGGTGATCGTGGAGGGCAATTGGCCTGGAAACGAAGCCAATCAGATCCAACGAGTTCTCCCAACCTGCAGTACGGCTGGCCTTTCTCGCTACATCGTGCGTATCTAGGCCGGCCAATTTGTCGATTAACTTTGAGGTAGCAGGGGGCTTGCCTGAGTGTCTGCTCAAGTTGCGAGCAATGGATACTTGGAAGGGGTAACCCTTGCAAATCCGCTTTGTTCACTAGATTCTGGTCCCGACATTGATAGTAGCGTGGGTGTAGAGAGGAGCCTGGCAAACAAACATCTGACAGCTGTTTGCTTGGAGTCTACAAATGATCACACATTTGAACAAATTTTTTTTTCTTGTCCTTTAGGTGCCAGTGGGGCCGCTGCAGTGATGGTATGGAGACTGCTGTTATCTGATAATATGAGGCAGCCGATGCTTCCATGGTACTTAGCACAACGGCTTGTGGATTCAGCTCGCTAGATTGAACAGCACGAACTAACGGCAGTCGATAAGGTTCTAAGACGCCCACCATCCAACGCTATTGAGAGCTAGCGCTCGACCCTCACATATGTTGATGAGTCAAAACTGAAGCTATCAGACGTCAGGTCATCGGTCCAGAGTACTTTTGAGACCCAAGCAGAGTCAGAACAATCAGAGCACTGCTTGGAGACCGAAGGTGGTGCTGATAGATGGATCAATCAGACCCATCTTGACCTACTCTATGTACCTATTGTCGCTATCTCACTTCACTGCTCCCAGAATTTTTTTAAATTCACCCTCTTTTCTACCCGAGTTCAGTAAATAATCTACTTATACCTATTTTTGCTCTATCTACTTTGTAATAGCTATTACTAATACTATATTTTGTGTTATAAAAACAAAATTAATGGCGGTTGCGAGTACTGTCCAATTTTCAACACCCTCCTCCATTCTCTGGTCTGTACCTATTCCGTCTTGGTACACGAGAAGTTTCAAAAACAGCCAAAGAGCATCAATCTTCATCGGCTGCTCCTTATTTGACTAGTGTACCGAGAGCCCCTCCCTCCTCTCCGAATTGAACATTTTGTTAAGTGAAAGGAATTGATGTTTTGTTTTTCCTCGTCACTGGTGTCGTGGCATGCTTTCGACTCCCTTTCCTGGGTTGAGCACTGGCAAACATCCCTAACCTTGTTCCCCAGCGAACGGCATTTCTCAGCGCGTCAACGTGGTTGTGACTGTGTAAGGTAGGTAATGTCAAGAAAACGTAAAGGGTGGCGCTGACAGGAAGGGTGACCTGGCCGTCGATGGTGGTGGTGGTGGTGGTGGTGGTGGTGGTGGTGGTGGTGGTGGTGGTGGTGGCCGTCGTTATGTATCTCAGGTTGGGATATTGATTTGTCATGTTTCATTCATCCATCCGTTAAACTCCGTATTTTTCATTCGTACCCCCTACTCTGCCCCCTTACCGCAACGAAAGCATCTCAAGGATTCCCTTTCGTTTTGGTGAAGGGTTGGCAGCGTCACCGGCTGCGATGAGCTGTTGGCCCCCCGGGCCGGCGAACTTGTTGTTGATGGCGTCCAGGACCCGGAGATGCTCCTTCTTTAGCTTCTCAAAGTTCTCGTCTAGTTCCTTGTGCCACGGGTAGAGGACAAAGACCTGGAAGCCGAGCGCCGAGGTGGCGACGCAGAAGTTGGTGATGGAGATTAGGCGGGTGATGAAGACCATTTTTGTCTACGTGTTGGGACGGAGATTTTTGAATGAGTGTTTGTGTGCCAGGTTTAGTCTGATGGAGTGTATTAGAGTGAGATAGGTGATGGGGGTGATTGATGATAATGGAAAACGTACGAAGCGCTGGTCCGGGAGAGCGGAATAATTTAAATGCAGCGTGGCTTGGGCCCCTGAGGTGGTCAAAGATGCCCAATGGAAGGAAGGTGGGTGGTTTGGAGTGAGAGACCAAAAAGAGAGAGAGAGAAAGGGGAGGGGTGACGGTCAGATAATATGGCTTGTCGGGACTTGGTGGGGACCAGACACGGCCCGGGGTTGGCTCGGCGAGGATCGGGGTTTCGTGTGTCTCGCTGTCGTGGCGAAAGCGTTAACTACTTGTAACTTCCCCACAAAAAACAACGAGACCAGGAAGGACTCTTTCAACAGAAATTGAACTTCACGTGCATTGATTGGTTTCCATAAAATGCAAGGTCGTTACCCATCATCCACGTGGCACATGCCATGCACAAAAAGGAAATACTTAGGCAACTCTGTCACGAGGGAAAAAGAAAAGGGTCTTCGGCCCCACTTCGGTGCCGCCACGCGACAGCGGGCCGATCCTAATGCGGACATTTGGGAATAGCTTCGGACTCGGTCTGGCCGTCGGTACCTTCATGTTTTAGTCGGGAAACTCCGGGAGAGTCACACGAAGCTGTTTCAAAAGTGGCGTGATTTTGCGGCAGATCTGTGGGGATGCTTCGCCAAGGAAATCCGAGGCAAAGGAAACAATTTTGGGGCATTTCTTGCAGCAGATTAAATTGAATGAATTCTATCAGCGTATCCGTAATCTATCCGGTAAATGTCGACAGGTTGCTGGGTCATGTCTCAGGGGGTGGTAAACAAAGAGGGTATCACGTGACTGTCTCCTGATTATCGTGGCAAAAGAAGTGCTGTTGAAAAATTTGGAGAAGTTGTGACTAGGTGTTGACAAGCTATAGTGAGGTAGGATGCCAAAATAAATTTATCGTGTTGACTTTCATCACTTGCAAGATTTGCTTTATGCCCACTTATTACTGTCTTCACGGCACCTCATGACAGTCCTCGGATATCTCAGGCTATCACCAATCATAGATTTGGCATTAGCGTCCACAATTGCAACAAATACCATCAAGGGGCGTATAGCGCAGTGGTAGCGCGTTCGCTTTGCAGTCATTATTCGACCATGCGAAAGGCCCAGGGTTCGATCCCCTGTTCGTCCATAACTTTTGCCTCAACCATAAAAATGATTTTTGTTTCCCCCACAACTTACTTCTGACGGCATATTTTGCGTTCATCATGTATATTTTTATCGGTTTGACATGATCCGAAACAGTTGGCGCGATTATGGTGACCCTCTTTGAGGCACTATGGTAAAGAGGTTTGCGAGGTCACAACTTCCAATCAACGGTCAGAAAGATCTGATGCCGCATGATCTCACTCTTATTATTCGCCTAGAAATGGCCCCCAAATTCGCATTCTGTGGAGTTCCGTCCAAACCCCGCATTTTTTTATCTTGTCCAACTTCAGTTCGTTTCATCTCTAAACTGCTCTGGACATTACCTGACAGAAGCAACAATGTCGGGACTCGAGCCACTGGCGGCGTTCGGGCTTGCTTGCAATGTTTTCCAGGCTATCAGTTTCGCTGGCGAAGTCTGCTCGTTATCTAAGGCTATCTTCAAGAATGGCGAGGTGCCGGACTCGACGGCTGGCCTAGAGGTCACCTTCAACACCTTGACTAGTGTTTGCGACCAGATCAAGAGCACCGCGGGTTCTGCGCAGAGGCAACTGACAGATAACGATCGGGAGCTGCTGCGAATAGCCCAAGACTGCCACTCGGCTGCCAGGGCTCTGAAAGCTGAGGTTGACAGGTCATTGCGGGCAACCTCTTCGGCAAAAGGCAACGCTCTGAAGTCTCTCATTGCCGGCTTGAAGATAAACGCGCATTCGAGAACTAGACAAGTCGAAAAGTTGGAGAAGCTCGTGCGACGGCACCAAGATGCCTTGGAAACACGGTTGCTCTTCAACATGTGGTAAGTTTCTTTGAATGATCACAACATTTGCGATGAAAGCAGATACATCTGCTGACAGCATTTCCAGCAGCCAAACGGATGCGGCCAATATTCAACAAGAGAAGGGCTTCAATGATCTGGATTCCACCCTGCAGAGCTTTATCCAAGCGTACGCAAAAGGCGAAACAAAGCTGGCACAACTGCTCACTCAGGAAGCAGAGTCCATCAAACATCATGTCACAACCGAAGTTGGAAAGTTGGGAGCAACAGTTATCGACATGGCTACCCACACACGACTTTTGCAAAGCCTCAAGTACCTAACCATGAACGAACGGCGGAACCAGATAACATCGCCGTATGGAAATACCTTTGAATGGATGGTTACGGGCGAAGATCCCCAGGATTCCGATTCTCAAACTGGATTGAACGATTCATCTGATAACAATGCGAACAAGCACCTTGAAGACTCAAGGGCTTCTGTTCTAGAGGACCAAAAGGAGGCTCGAGAGAGTGCCTCGCATCGCTTTCTTTCATGGATTCAATCAACTGAGGAGCCCTTGTTCTGGATCAGCGGAAAACCAGGATCCGGGAAGAGCACTCTAATGAAGTTTTTGGCCAGTAGTCAACAGGTTATCCAAAACCTCCCAAGAAAACCTACCGGCGAGACCTTGGTTCTGTCCCATTTCATCTGGAGTGCCGGCCAGCTGATGGATCGAAGAATCAAAGGAATACTTTGCTCCCTGCTCCGCCAACTGCTCGACCGGGCGCCACATTCTCTGGCCTGGCTCATCGTCGAGAGATTTCCTGAAATTATTCTCAAGGACTCACCTTCAGACTGGGACGAGGAAGAATTGCAGCGCATCTTCATATATTGCCTGCAACGCTCGCCCTCCACAGTCTTCATCTTCCTTGATGGCTTGGATGAAATTGACCCTAGCCTGCACGAGGGGCAAACACGACTTATTCAACTAGTGCAAAATCTAGGTCAGCAGATCTCGAGCCTGAAGATATGTGTCGCAAGTCGTCCAGAGCCTATGCTTGAAAAAGCATTTGGCACATCACCCATGATCAGGATTCACGAGCTCACACAACTGGACATTTGGACGTTCACTTCAGGTGTTTACCGGGAGCGTTTTCGGTCAGAGATCACAGCGACAGATGCAGGCCTTATTGCCGAAGTGTGCCGGACGGCCGAGGGTGTTTTCCTATGGGTCGCACTAGCTCTCAGGACGCTACAGCATGGCCTAGAGAATGGGGACGACTTTACAGATCTCGAAAAGCGGCTCAAAGCTCTACCGGCTGATCTCGAGCTCCTCTATAAGGCGATGTGGGATCGTCTGGGCATCAACAAAGACATTTACCGACAAGATGGTGCGACATACATAAATATCGTGCGCAACTACTCCTATGATTTCTTGCGCATGGAGCCTACCGTTCTTGACATCCTTCTGACGACAGAGAGATCCCTTTGCGACGAGCTCCTCTCCGGAGAAGCAGAAACACCTGAAAGGTTGGAAATACTTGCCCTTCGAGGCGTAGAGCTTGCCCGGCGGATTGAGATACGCAGTGTGGGCTTCCTCGAAGTCAGCAGAAATGTGAACTTCTCGCTTCTGAGTGGAGTGAAATTTGTTCATCGTTCAGCGATAGACTTCCTTGAAGATACTGAAGAAGGTCAGCAACTGTTACAATTCGATCGGCTTCCGCGTCAAGATCGAATTTTCAGATCCGTGGAAGCACTGATTGCTTCTTCCCTCTTCTTAACAAAAGTCACCACTCCTTTCGATGTCGGGATGGCCGCGGGTTATTGGTTCATGCGCCGTCCCGAAATCTGTGTCGATCAAATTCGATTTCTGTCCCAGCCGTCTCGGGGAGCGCACATCTCAATAGAACAGACTAGACTGCTTTATCACACAGTCGAGCGGTTCTTTTCCCCAACACCTCCCTCTAGCCTCAGGTTGACCACCTCGAAGGGGTGTGGCCTGGTGAACCTCTGGCTCGACTTTCTCACAGTGGCAGTGTACAAAGGACTTGTCGACATTGTGCGGGAGCCGATGCGCACTCTAGCTATCTCAAAGAGCTACAGGAGCCATCTTGTTGCTGCGAGCTTGTCACCTGTTCGCTATCCATTGTTTGGTGAAGGTCCTGATCGAAACCTGGAAATGACGTGCCAAATATTCAAGGACAAACTAGAAGTTGCACACTTCTTGATGAAGGAACCTATTGATCCACATTACCGCACAATTGGCCCGAAGGATCTCTTTAATGCCGTCTTTCATAGCTTCCGGCGCAGGGAACTGAACGGCAAGAAACGAGTCTTAGTGCTATGGCCTATTTCCCCGATAGAGGCCACCATAGAGCTTCTTATGGAGACCCTCACACCGGTTGAACTAGCACCGCTCAGAGCTCCGGTGGTTTCAACCTTGGATCAACTGCTTACACTCGGTGTACCTTATACACACACCGTCGTTTTCATGATGTGGCTGGCAGTTCCGGGTTTGGACCACTTTATCCCGAATATCTATAGGTTTAACGATTTCAACTCGGATTTCGGAACTGATATTCTTCTTGTTGAAGCGACGATAGGAATCCTTCTTGATATATTGTTAGGGTACGGTGATGAGAAGATGAAGCATGAAGCTCCTATCTCAGATCTAAGGAATATTATTGGAGCTTTTCGAGGACCACGTCACATTCACAAACTTGTGTTTAAGACAAGACTCACAGGAGACGAGAACGGTATTTTGCCCCATACCAAATATTATAGTGCTACTGACTCGCAAATCATTACTCTGCAAGCGGGGATCCGCAAAATAAGTTGGTGCCATCCTAAGGAAAACACTAGGAGGAGTCGTCTGGAGCTCAAGTTGCCGGGGCTGGCTCAGGTGTGCCAGGAGATGACGAAAACAGAGCAATGCAACAAAGATGAGTTATTTACAGACTGGGTTGCTCGATATCGCCTGTGGGATTCAGAAGGCCTCTCGAGCGTTTATCGGAGTCTGTGGCCGAAGCAGAAACAGGTTCCTTTGACAGATGTTGATGTTGTTTCGGATTAAGGGTAACTGATAAATGCTAGGTTGCATGGCTGTTGTTGGACAAACATCACGGTGGGACAGGGTGGGAGGCAAGTTGTAATGTTTATGCATCTGCGTGTTTACAATTGACCTACTGGATTATGATTGCAATCACCAGGAAAATACTACCTTGTCTGAAAAGCCGTTGAACATTACAGGTAGGAAGGGATAACCTTCGGTCTGAGTTTGCGTTGAAAATGGCAAACCTTTGCCAAGGTCCGGCAGGCAAGTGGAGGTTTATACTGCTACAAGGTGTTGTCCAACAATAGCCAATGTTAGTCAAATTCCAGGTAGATGAATGGGTGTTTCTAGGAAATAGTTTCAGTAGATCTGTGGATATCCACAAGACTGTTGGCCTTGGAATATTGGGGCAAGACTGGTGCTAGTACATATTACTGAAATAAGGGTATCATTTGAGGTTACTTTCCCTTACAAAAGGGCGTGAAGATACATGTAGAGTTTAAAATTGGCAGATATGCCAATCTACATTGAAGTCTATGGGAGTCTTAGATACCTGGCAAGACAGAACACAACAAAGTAGTAAAAGATTATCAACAAGATGATGGCAAATCAGAAAATAATCCGGCTATTCCGCGTGATAATTCCTCCAGAGATTTGTTGGCTTCAACCGCCTGGCAGTTTTGGCGTGCCAACTCGACCAAGTACAACCACGCGTACATGTAACCAAGCCAAGGCCCAGTCCTAGTACTTTACCCTGTATTACTCCAAACATTCGGGCATCACATTCTTGTACTGCAAAAGCTAGACCCCAGCCCACCACGTTCAGTTAAAAATTCACTTTATCATCTCCAGCCTCACCGCGTCTTTTCAAATTCCTACCAAGTCAATGATTCATCGACTCGAGCAGATCAAATCCAGACGAAAACCGATATCCCGACGTTCTCAGAATCACCTGCCAGTCTCAAAACCTGAACAACGTTTAGTGAAAGGACCTAATTATCAAAAACCCATCAAACAAAACTTGAAGTCAAACAACCACGTTGTTTGCTCGGATTAGGTCTATCCAGCTTAACAGATAGAGGAATAACGGGAGGAAGAAAAATCCCCGATACGTCGCAGATTTATATGGGCCAAAATTATCTATCTGCTATCGCAAGGGTGATAATACGAGAGAAGCTT